TTTTTTTTTTTTTTTTTTTTTTTGTGATTTTGACAAGTTTGCTTTTTCTCGGAAAGTACATATTATATGATAATTTATTGCCGGCTCATTGTGATCCCTAGATTTTTCTTATTTGAGGATTGCATTTCGTCTTTTGTTTGTTTCTGCCACCCTTTATCAAAAAGGTTTCCTACAAACACATTATCACACGGTTTAAAATTCCATTTTAGAGACGTTTACGTAGCTCTTTATTCACATGTAAGCCAATGTTAAGCTTAAATCTGTTGTTAGTTGTTTATTACATGGATTGTAATGATACTAATATCAGAGGAATCGGAAAACACTCACCAAATTTTCAGCACAAAACTATACTTTTTAAAATTTCCCAAATTTTGCCCTCGGAGAGTTTAAAATGTGTGCAGAATACAAGCGTTACCTTTGTTAGCATTACGTTACTACAAAATTGGCAGTTACACATAAGGACAGTTGACTGATGTCAAAAGAAAAAAAAAAAAAAACACCATAAGTGAGATTCAGTAGTGCATATTCAACAATCTACGAACGACTAACTTTTTTAAGAGCTGTTTACTGATAATAGACATAAGAGATATCTACTAGTAATAACTTTCCCTGGTCTACTACAAAATTGACAAGTTGATATAAGGTCTAGGCTAATAGACAGCTTACGGTCACTAATTGAACATTGCCTCTCAATCGATATTGGTTGCTCGGACAAACTTTGTTCCCCTCCATATACATGTACATGTACATTGTATCTTTTTGTAAACTTCTTTTTCTGAGAACGAAATTGTAACCCTAAAATATCTTGAGGTAAGTTCTCCTCAGGTACCTTTTCAGCTATGAAATTCTACAGGTATTACCGTTTCATCACTTGCTTTATCGAGGTACACACAGTTGAATATCTGTGCCTCAAGTGAAAAATAAATTTCCTGTAAAAAAACATGTACTTATGTGTTAGCTTGTACACCTCGGCTATCACACGGGGCTGCTTTACCAGAGAGCCTGAACTCTATCTTAATTAATCGACGACGTCACCTAAAAGAACATTCTCTGGAAATTCATTGATCCAGGCATCTCGCACCCGAACAGCAGGAAGGGCAAGAAGTAGGCTAATGTAACAACCAAGCGATTGCACTTCTCGTGCTATCAGCCAATCAGGAGAAACTGGAGGGGCTAGGCTGACAACCGCTCAACGTTTGCCGCTGCACGGTAAAGGGGACTATTACAGTTCTCTTTTAGACGTGTTTAACAAAATTTCTTGATTATGAAATCTGGACATGTTCCAATAGTTCTAAATTCACTGATGTTTGGCTTCTTGTTGTTTTCGCAATGTTTGAAGCGCATCAAGGCAACCCACGTCATGGAGAGCAATAGCTAGATTTTTGACGGTTCCTAACTTAGGGTCAAGCTCTTTCCATTTAAGGAGGCCTTGGATGCACTGTTCGGTAATTTTGTCATTCTTGAAATCCTCTTTCAAATTTTCAATGGCCTTTTCCTTCATGGACATTCTTCGTAAAAGGTCTTTCCAGTCTCGTCCAACATCGGGGCTGATTTGATAGATCTGTTCTTCTGTTACCGGCTCGCTACCCAATTGCGAGACATAGTGGTCCCAGTCTATGGAACTTTCGTACTGCGAAGTACCTGGGAAAAAGCGTCAGTACTAGTTAACACAACGACTAGTACGGCATGCTAAACATACATTGTGGATCAGCAAACAAAAACAATTAGTGCATCGATTTTTCCATTTCTCATATATGTGAACTGATAGATGGCTTGATAGCTCAGTTAGTAGAACACCGCGTCGGTATCCCAGAGGTCATGGGTTCGAATCCGGTTCAGGACTGAGTTTATTTTTCGTTTTTCTTTTCTTTCTTTTTTTTTTGTTTTTTTGTTTTTTTGTTTTTTGTTTTTTGTTTTTTTGCTTCAGGCTTTAATTTCACAATTACTTAAGTTGTCTGTTTAACTACGATGATCAATCATATCTTCAAGTCATTCTCCGCAGTTCAAATATATCATATTTGGTATATTCACTTGCAGTCTCTCTTTTTGCTCGAAAATCCGTAGGGGAGAACGCAAAGAAGAACACAACACAAGTGAACAGTCGCGAGCGTGCGAGCGTAATATGCGATATCCCGCGCTACTTCCGGCTTGCGGCCAACGCCGCTCGCACGTCACGCTCTCAAGCTCACCTATTATGCGTTCTTCCCCCCGGATTTTCGAGGAAAAGATAACCTGCTCAGAGTGTACTCTCCCAGCGGTTCAAGATCACGTGCAGTCGATTAAAGTGTATCTAAAGTGCATCATGACCCGCCTTCTCGACCGAATCTCTCCAACGGAACACGTCCGTTTTTTCTCTCTCTGTTTTTTTTTTGGGTTTGCATGCTTATCTTTCTCTTTAGATCTTTTACCAGAGGGCTCAGGAGATATTAAGGCACTAAAATTATTTCCGAGCCGCTCTTAGTGTAATTTGAAAACCCACTTACTGGGGGTAGTGTCACTTTGGCCGCCTTCTGCGGAGCTTCGTCGGATGCTCTGCCGCTATACAAACAGATAATAATGCCAAGTCAGATAATAATGCCAATACAGCTTTGAAGCGTTCGGAGAGTTGTTTTTAGCTTGCCCTTATTAGATCTTAAATAAAACCAGCCTGCTCTACTTGCTGAAGATTTCGCAATTTACTAATAGGGAAAGTACGAGGGGGAGGGGATGGAGGAGCGGGAGAGGGAAAGGGAAGGGGGAAGGGGAGGGAGGTGTGTGGTGAGGTGTGGGGGAAAGTCTCTTGAACATTTTTCTTTCTTTTTGGACATATCATTCAAGTAAAATTTGCCAAATTTTGAAACTTGAACTGAAAACCATTTGCAGTCCTCGACATCATCATAACGTGAGATGACTTCATCGTGCATCTTTTGTGGGTTACACAAGATCCTCTATCTCGATATAATTATCATTGCTTGAATAGCTTTGAAGTTAGGGTGGGGGTCGGATTCCCCCCTCTCCTCACCCCACTCATAGAAGACGTAGTTAAATCAAAATAGTCTGATGTCATAGAGTTAGCTTTGATTGAGACGATTTTTTCAACCTGGAAGACAAAACTTAAAATTCAAGATGACTGATCCCACCATTCTGGGACAAAGAAGCTGGATTTATTGTCCATTGTTCGTCTGTAGCATGAATCACACACACAAATAAATAAATAAATAAATAAAGATTCCCCTGTAGCAAGCATTTTTCTTTACCTTCAAAGGCGTAAAGCCTGGATTCAGATAAAACGAGTGTTCTTCGTCGTCATCTTCCTGTTGAAACTTTACCCAACAAGAAAACTCGTTCACATCCAGACCGTCTTCTGGTTTAAGAGCAAAATCGCAAGCATCTATAGACCGAAATCCACTTCTAGCGTTCTCGTATTTGTATATCTAAAAGTGATGAAGCACAACAAACTTCGTAGTCAGTGGTTGCAGAATTTTGAGAAGTAAGGTTCAATTTTGCTGATGTTCAACACTAAGATGATAAGGACATTAAGAAAAATAATTAAAAAAATATATATATTTTGCTGTAGTTGTTGTGTTTGACGCTCGCAGAGTTTTCGAAACTGGAAGATTAGGTATTAGACTTTTAAGTTTCACGATGCAGGAAGAGCAGGATTCACACGAGTGGAATGGGATGGAATGTTTATTGTAGGTCCATGGAAAAAGGTTTGCCACTGACTCTTGATATTTTTCACCAGACGTTTCGGCTAATGCTTAAACCTCCATCAGTGATATGGAAACGAAATTCGTCGTCATACGCTATTCAAAGTAACGTAATGCGAAGCTTGCGCGCGTGACCACGTAATTCATGCTCACACGATGCCTTAATTGTAAGCCTCTGGAAGTACGATATGATCGTTCACAGCGTTCCTGTCCAATGTAGAGTACCAGGCTTCGAGGAAAAGTCACTCGTGGTAGTTAGCTTCCAAACCAACGAGCTTGACGTTTTCAAAGTTCATGTTGTAGTTCATGTTGTGTACTATAGGTACTAAAGAACAGCTAACGAAATACTGGGCTTCCGTTAGACCAAGTGACTCCCCCATTTGCCAGTCACTAAGCAGTATGGCTTAAACCAAAGGTGATAAGTTAGTTAATCCATAACAAACGAATCGGAGCCCCTTTCCGACGTAATCGTTAGATTAACTGGGTTGGTAAATGTTCTTATTCTCATTCCTTACTTTTTTTTTTCTTTCTTGTGTGTGTAAAAACAACGAATATTATAAGTGAGAACGGCTGGTAAACATGACACAGATATCTTTTTCTGCAGGCTTCTTTAATTTTTTTTTTTACCTGTTTAGGCTAAGAAATTCTTAAAATAGCGGTACTTGCCATCTATGAGTCTTAATACTGATCAGGTTTTTTGAATAAAAGTTACAATTTACCTGTGTATCGTCAGCATTGTAGAAGTTCCAGCCCTCTTCAAGATCAGTGAGTTTTACTGTGATCATTCTGTTGTCTTTGTACATTTCGAAGGGCTTCTCCCTAGCTGGCTTCGAGTGAGGAAACCTTTCCTTTTCTGCCAACTCCACGCTCTTGCGAAAAGGAAGACACGTACACAAGTAAATGACAAAAATGTTAAAGTGAGACTAAAGAGGTGTACACCCGTAGAATATCCTCTCACAAAAAATAAATAAATAAATAAATAAATAATAATAATAATAAAATAAAAATAAAAATAAACTTCCTGCAACTCGCTTTAATGTTTTACCTTGCTCCTACCTGAATTTCCTTACTTTGTTCACACCTAAGTGACAGTAGCATCGATATTCAAGACCTCGATCCATCCATCCACATAAAATATTCCCTTACCAAAAAAAGAAACCTTCCTGCAATTCACTCTAGTGTTGAACAATGCTCCAAATTAAATTTACTTATTATTATTATTTTTTTTTTTTCACACCTAACTGACGGTAGGATCGATATTTATCCATCCGTCCATCTATCCATGAATTAAATAAAGTCTTCTATCTATTTTCCGGCTTTAGTCTTTCTACTTTTGATCCCAGACGTCTTCTGAAATGGCTGGGTTTCAGGTCGTTGCTCGCACCGTTGGTCTCATTCACGGGCTCAAAAACAAAAAGTGATCACGTGATGACGAATTTTATAATCGTGTCATGAGTGAATCTCCTGCAGTCGGGGAAGGTGCTTCACAGTTTGGAGGAATCTGCAACAGTTTTGATGTAAACTGTAGCCTTGCAAGCGATGTTTGTCATCACGTAATCACTTTTTTTTTTTTGGATCTGCAGCTGAAACCAACGGTGCATGCAAAGGCCTCACAAAGAGCCATTTCAACAGACGTCTCGGATCAATAGTAGCTATCCACCCATCTATTCATCCTTCCTTATCTCTGCATCTTCAAAGATTTATGCATTTATGGAGCTATTTGTGTATGCAGGTGAACCTGAACGGTTCGATTGATTCATTAAGGCAGACGTCATGCATATTTTAGCACTATGTCTTCAATCCTGTCTCTCATTTGATCACTTACCATCTTAGAATCCTGGTTATCACTGTAGACGTAGAATCGTAAGTAAATAAGGTCGCTTCTGGGATCCGGTTTGCTGGCATAAGCTGTCGCTATTTTTCTGCTTGGCTTGTTTGCGATAAAATCCTCTTCAACCGTGAAGATGGCCTGGGATTGACTTACTTTCTCCGATTCTTTGGGCACTCTCTCCCAGTTTGAGCAACCTGTGAATTTTTTTTGTTTTTGATTTTGTTTTGTTTGTTTGTTTGTTTGTTTGTTTTTTTCAGGCTTTAATTTTACAACTGCTTAAGTGGTGTGTATAACTGCCACGATTAATTATATTCTCATATCATTCTCCGCAGTTCAAAGATATGATCTTTCATATACCCACTTCTATGCTTTACCTTCTACAGGCATATTAAGAGCAGCTTCGCCTAAATATCAACTAGACTTGGAAATAGCGAAAAAATCGAATTTCTTCAAANATCTCCAAAATAGCCCCAAAACACCGCCATTTTGTTTCACGACCGAGTTTGAGGAGAATGGGTCCAACGGCTGTTGTGACGTCTACCCAGGAAGGTTGAATATTTCACGTTCTCTTATTTCGTTCAGGATGGTGCAATACACATTCGAAAAGTACGCAGAAACGCCTTCCAGAAGTGCTATCGGCTGTTGTAGCAATATCCCAGATCTAAAGAAAGATATACTGTACACTCCACTAGCAATGATCGGTCAATGGTACAGCAAAGACGTAAACGTTGGTTGATCTTGTCGAAACGAAACAAACGAGCTGAGTCTCTGAGAACCATTGAAGAACTCTCACTGGAATTTGTTCCGCAGACTTTCAAACGCTATTTTCAAAACTTTCTGCGTAAAGCTAACCAGCAATTTGTCGAAATACTACCGACAACTTATATCTTACAATCCCGCAGTATTTATTACATAGCCTGTAACGATGTTATGATGTCATAGGCCCTTTAAGCGATGGAAATCTTCCTGTCAAATAGCAACGATTCTGTCGAGAAAGGTCAAATTGCGAAATCGCGGCTCAGCCAAAAGGCACCGAAAAGCCGGGCAGAAATAAGGAACGACGGGTAGCCACGTTGCTTTCGTGCATCGGTTCTGATGCATTAGACGTAATTGATGCTATGGAGTTTGAGAACGAAGACCAAAGAAAAGACCCAGAAGTGATCTTAGAAAAGATGAAACGACACTGCATTGGGGAGTGCAATGAGACCTATGAAAGGTATGTGTTCAACCGTCGGGACCAAGGGTCAAATGAATCAGCCGATGCCTATGTCACAGCATTACGAAAATTAGCGAAGACATGCAACTATGGGTCATTGACAGACTCACTTATTCGTGACAGAATGGTGGTGGGCATCAATGACAATTCTGCTCTTAAGAAGCTCCTGCAGACAAGCAAGCTCACTTTAGGACAATGTATAGACATCTGATGATCTTCGCAGACATCAGCAACGCAGCTAAAGGAGATGAATCAAGAGGATGTCCGTTTCGTGAACGAGAAGACAAAGAAAAACAGTTGACAAAAAGGTTCCAGTGAAGAACCAAAACGAGCCATAAGAACGCAAGTGCAAGTTTTGTTCCAGGCACCATCCTTTCACTAAGAAGAACTGCCCTGCATAGGAAACATCTTGCAAGAATTGTGGCAAGCCAAACCTTTTTGTGGTGTGTTGCCAAGAATCTAAGAAGAAAGTGCTGTCTGTGGATTACACATCCAAAGATGAGGAGTATGAATATGTGACCGAATTTGAAGTGAAAGAGCAGGTTAATGCATTAGCCTCCAGTCGTCACCCTAACAAATTTTTGCCACTCTACTGGTCAATGGAAACCAGGAAAAGTTTCAGTTAAACAGTGGATCAACAGTAAACATCATGACTGATGAGACAGTGTTAAAGCTCTGTGGCCAAAACGGCTTGAGTGAATTGGAAGAAAGAGACTAACTACGCTCACATAGAAAAGGAACTATTAGCAATTGTCTTTGGAGTTGAGCGATTTGAGGGCTATGTCTATGGCAGAAAGACCTTTATTGACACTGATCACAAACCCCTGGAGTCTTTTATGAAGAAAAGTCTATTGAGTGCACCAAAGCGATTGCAGAGAATGCTGTTGCGTCTACAGAAATTTGACTTAGACGTTTTCTACGGAAAGGGTACAGAGATGCATATGGCTGATCCACTAAGCCTAGCTTACCTTCCCCTGGTTAAACAAGACATAGATGACTCCCAGGAAGTATGGAATGTTGCCGACACAAGATCACCAAGAGAAGTTGAGACTGAGTATATAGACATGGCAGAGTCTGTGCCCATTCGAAACAAATCTTGCAGGAAATTAAAAGTGCTACTGAAGTTGATGCAGAGCTCCAGGCATTAGCTCCTATCATAACACAAGGGTGGCCAGAGAGAAGGGCTGACTTACCCTCCCAGTTGCAGGTCTATTTTTCCTTCAGAGAAGAGCTGTCAATACAGGATGGTGTTGTGTTGAAGGGTGAACGCATTGTAGTACCATCTAGCCTCAGGCAATGCGTGATGGATAAAGTACATGCCAGTCACCTGGGCATTAAGGGGTGCCTCAGGAGAGCCAAAGAAGCCTTCTACTGGCCAGACATCTACAAGCAAATCACAGAATTCATCTCAAGGTGCCGTATTTACAACAGCTACAAACCAGAGCAGCAGAAAGAATCTCTAAAATGTCACGAAATACCTACACGACTATGGCAGAGCATCTCAGCAGACCTGTTCGAGCTCAATGGCACCCATTACTTGATTACTACTGACCGCTATTCTAATTTATTGGAGTTGGATATACTGACGTCTACGACGGCCAGAGCGGTTAACAAGCTGAAACCTCATCTGGCAAGATATGGTCTTCCAGATCGACTCGCCACAGACAACGGCCCACA